GGAGGAAGGAGGAGGAGAAGGAGGAGCAGGAGGGGAGGAGGAAGGGAGGAGGAAGAGCAGGGAGAAGGGAGGAGCAGAAGGAGGAGGGGGAGGAGGATAAGTTAGGGGAGAAGGAGGAGGAGAAAGAGGAAGGGGAGGAGGAGAAGTAGGAGTTGAGGAGGAAGGAGGAGGAGGGGAGGAGGATGAAGAGGGGGAGGAGGAGACGGAAGAGGAGGAGGAGGAGGGTGGGGGAAGAGGGAGTAGGAGGAGGGGAGGGTCGCCTCTTGCTTTGTCTTTTACGCAAATGTATTTATAGACGTGTTTAGGGGACTCCAGGTAAGCTTTGGTGCTTTTAGAGGAAGTAATAATAACGATAACAATGAGAGTAATGATAATGACAATAATGATAATAACTATAAGAATAAGTATAAGAATAATAATGCTGAAGATCATGATATTGATGATAATAATAATAATAATAGTAATAATAATAATAATAACAATACTACTACTGCCACTACTCCTAATTATACTAAAAAGGACAATAATAAGTGAAGGGGGGGTGGGGGGGGCTTTGTCTTTTCGATGAGTCTTGGCCACTTAGCTGAGTTTGATTCACTTTTATGCTGATAGGTTCCGGTTCTTAAAGCGATTCTCGACAATATATTGCATTTTAGGCGAGTTAGGTGTCTTTGAAGGAATGTTCGAATGTGTATCTGTGTTTTTCTGATCTCTTTCTCTCTCTCACTCTCTCTCTCTCATCCCGTTCTCTCTCTTTCTCTCTCTCTCACTGTCTCTCTCATCCCATTTCTCTCTTTCTCTCTCTCACTGTCTCTCTCATCCCGTTCTCTCTCTCTCTCCATCTCTCTCTCTCTCTCTCTCTCTCTCTCTCTCTCTCTCTCTCTCTCTCTCTCTCTCTCTCTCTCTCCCTCTCTCTCTCTCTCTCTCTCTCTCTCTCTCTCTCTCTCTCTCTCTCTCTCTCACTCTCTCTCTCTCTCTCGGTTGACGACTTGTCAATGGGATGTTGGTGAAGAGAGAGAGAGAGAGAGAGAGAGAGAGAGACTAACAGACAGACAGACAGACATACAGGTAGACAGACATGTTGACAACCTGTGCTGAGATAGGAATCAAGGGCAGATCAGGGTCTATCTATTTATCTATCTATACGTCTCTATCTTTGTCTCTCTCTCAATTTCTCTCCTTTTCTCCATCTGTCTATCTATCTATCTATTTATCTATCTCTCCCTTGTTTTCAGCACAGCCAATAAAATAAATAACGTCTGAAAAAATATATGCAACAATATCACCCCCTTAAAAACAAAAACAAAAAAACAATAAAAAAAATAAATAAATAAAAGTTGTCTGGACTTCAACGTCAATATTTTCGCGCGTTCGGATTAAATGATATTTTTGGCGGATTTGCGGGAAAGGTCGCGAGGATTTTCTCTGCTCCAGTTGACCTTTTTTCTCTCCGGCTGTTGCATTCTGAAGTCCTTGCGTTGGTGTTGTGAGTCATGGCCAGAATGATGTTCTTATTGATATCGTACGTTGCTAGCTACTAAGAATGAATACATATGTTGAAAAGGATGAGTAGTCGATATAGTAGTGGTAATTATAGCATTGGTAATATTAATGAATGATGTTTTATTAATGAGGGTAATCACTGCATAGATGGTGATGATAGTGTAAGCCGCGGGAACTTGGCGGAGGCCGGCCAGTGCTTCCAGGAGCTTCAAGGGGAGAGGGTCTCTTGCGCTTCCTGAGGCTCAGTTGTTTTAAGTTGCGTTTAACCAGTGATGGATTTAATTCCGATGGCTTCACTGTTTACCGTTTTCTTTTAACAATTATTTGTATGATTTTTTTTGTGAACTGTCGTTTTGTTTTTGTTTTCTTTATTGTTTATGTTATTGTTTGCTGTTGTTGTTATTGTTACTGACATTATGACTGTAATTATCAAAATCATCATTATCATCAACAAAATTATTATTCTCTTTCTTGATGTTATTAGTTTTCTGTTGCTTTTATCTTAATCGGGCGTGTTTCTCGTTGTATTCGTTATAAATATATTTTTTGTGATATCTGGTAAAAAAGGAGATCCGCTTCTTTCTCTAGATACCTGGCAGATATTTCCTTGTGTGTCGTTAATGATCTTTTGCCTCGGAGATCCTCTGTAAATATTTCCAGTTTATCATCATTATTGTTATTTCCTTTTCTTTTCTTTTCCTTTTTTTGTCTTAGTTACATCCCCGTGCGTCATATTTGCATCAGCCGCCCTGAGTCATTCCAGTGTTTTCGTAGGCATTTATGCCAACCCCCCCCCCCCCCCTCTCACGCCTCTGCCCTCCCCGCCCCCCGGCCCGGAATCCCTCCAAGTGCGGCCGCCCACCGCCACCCACGCCCACCCACCGCCCTCGCCAGCCCACCCTCTGCCACCAGCCCCTACCCATCCCCGCCCACCCTTACCCACTCCCGCCCACCCCCACCCGCCCCCTCAGCCCCCCCATCGCGAGCATGCAACACA